GCCAACATTTTTTAATACAATCGAGGAGGTTACTTGTGATTTAACAGGCTTCCGGATAAAATCCGGCTTTTGTATAGGTAGATTTCTATTATTTGATGGGATTGGTTTCGATTTTTCATTACTAAGCACACTTGAAGGAGTGTTGAATTGAGGAATTCCATCGATATAAACTTCTAATGGAGTTGCACCCAATTCAAGTGGATAAGAATCCCAAACCTAATAAATAAAATAATCATTAAATAAAAATTCATCTCTATAATACTCAATCCACATTGTGTATCCAGCATTACCACAACATCAGCATCATATCCCTTTGAAATTTGTCCGATACGATGATCTAAACCTAGAGCTTTCGCAGGTACTGATGTAACAGCTGCAAGAGAAAGATTTTCATCAAGGCCGTAAAAATGTGCTTTGGAAGCTTCAAACATCAAAGTTTGCTATAATTTAAATCATAATATTTGGCATGTCATTTTATCTACCTTCAAAATAAATAAATAAATAAATAAATAAATAACTCACCGCATTAATTACAGGATGATCTGACTTTAGGGCTACAGGAATGTGTGCATCGGCTAAAATTTTCGGTGACTTTGTACTAGCTTGGAATGATTCCTTCTTGAACCCCCAAAGGTCAGAAAATGTTGCAATAGTAATATTATTTTTTACGCGCTTTTTAATAATGTCAGTAATACGATAAGCATCTAGCGCATGATGTAAAGCCGTAATAGTAAAATTAATTTCCAAAGAATGTCGAATAATTGCTTCTATATCATAGGTCTATACATAAAATATTTTATTAAAAATTTTAAATATCGTTTTTGAATTTTGCAATAATAACAAACCTCATAACAGTGAACATTTAATTTTGCATCGTCTCTAAACAATGCTACCAAACTTTCAAGTCGAAGTTCCTCCGGAAAATATGAATTCAATTGTTCTGTATTGCTTAATTTTGCCGCAGCTTCACACCAATCATCTTGTTTTTGTTTTAACGCCTTTGCCTCAGAAAAGAGTTTACGGAAGAGCCATGCTTCTCCCATACGTGTAGAAGGAATCCGTCCCTTAGGACCGTAGTTCCTCTTTAATAGACAAGAAAATTAATCAAACACATGGATTATTAAATACCATAAAGAAATAAATGAATGCCTGTACGTACCTTTGGATTTTCACCACAAGCCATTTTTAACCAACGCCAAGCTCTCTCTTGTTCAGGATCAATGTTTGCATAAATTCCCATATCATCCACTGACATAGTATCGACTGGTCGCATTTTAATAACAAAACCTTCGCCACCCATCAAATTAGAGCTACCAGGCAGAACTATTAAATGTAGGACGCTAAATTAGAAATTGACCATTATGATCCATAAACTAATTCAGAGTATCTATTGTTCTAGCTAAACGTGTTTATCATTAAATAGTACAAAATTAAATGTTCTGTACGCGTCATACAGATAGTAATCCTTCTTACCTAACGAGGTTGTAACGCCACCGGACGAAATAATTCTAATTGCTGAATTGATATATACCAAAACAATAAATTTATATAAATACTATAGGTTGCAATCAGTTAATTTTAATTAATTTTTGATTTTACTAACCTGGATCATTTGGATTTATTGAGTCTTGAGCACGAACCTAAGAGTGGAAAAGGTCTTATTAGGAGATATTTATACTAATAACAGACTTTTAAATTTTTAAATATTAACATAGGATGTAATCGGATCGACGGCTTCATTCAAATCATTAGTAGCTGATAAGTATGGCCAAGAATTGACACCAACATGACTAGAAATTTTTCGGGTTATAAACAAGTCAAAGACAAATAAAATAATCAATTATTGAATTAATTATCGATTTTTACCTATGCATATCAACGAGTCCCGGTGTAATAAATTTTTCTTTAACATCAATTATTACAGTATCATCATCATAATCTAAATTCGGTCCAACATCATGAATTAACCCATTTTTTAAAATAATATCACCTAAAATCAATTCTCCTTTCCCGTTTAAAATCTTTCCATTTTTTAAAATAATAGTTTTTGTTCCTGGAACAAATCTAGGATTACTTGTTCGTATAAATTTATTATCAGGCTTGGCACGTTTTATCATTTTACACTTATTAACACCATTCTTATAAGATTCTTGAGATATTCCAATAGAAAGTTGATCATATTTATTAGGAACTGAACGAGTATCATATAGCATAAATAAAATAGTAAATAATCCGAAAATTAAAACGGTCGGAAATAATTTCTTTGGTTTCAAAGCATTTTGAAATGATGATTTAGATAGATTGAATTTTTCAATATATCCATTTACTTGGATATACTCTTTGAAGCTTTCTGCCATTTTTTTTCTTTTTTTTTTTTTTTTTTTTTTTTTTTGAAATTAACTACG